CCCCCCAAACTCTGTCTGCCTAACTTGAGAACCACTCAAATTTAGTAACTTAAATGTAAATATCCAGGTTTTTTCCTCGGATGGCAGTCCCTGTTCAAGTGCAACTGGATGTGAAATCCCGCTATAGGGCCTAAGACAGACACGAGTGAGCTTCCTGAGTGGATGGCGGGGAAGCCCAGGGACGTGGGAGCCGCAGAGCCGACGGCCTTGAACGTCTCCTGTTCTTGAAACTAGAGCTTTTTCCAGAGCGTATCAAGGCTTGAAGTCAAGTCAGAGCAGGGAAAGGAGGAAGATGGGCCTCTCCTGGAGTCCTGCCCAAACACTTCTTACCCTGCTGCAAATTTCAATCCCCGACTCGTGAGTCCCAGCAGTGCCACTTCTTCCTTCCTCGCAGTGCGCTGGCAGAGGAGTGGAGGGACCCCATTGCTGGAGCTTCCTGAAGCCCTCCTTCCAAAGGGAAGGGAGCCTCAGGTGGTGCTCAGGATGTTGCTAACAGGCTGTGAGTTTCACCTCCCAGGTGACCATGAGGACAGCAGGAGCAATCAGGAAGCAAAAAAAGTGAACAACAAATCTACCCTCATAGGGCTACGTGAACAGTCATTTTCTCTGGGCCTTCCAGAATCATTGACCAATTCACTCCACCTGAAGCCAACTGCGTTCAAGGTGACACTAGGGTGATGAATGACTGGTGAATGTTTGCGTCTTCTTCGACAGCCTCTGGCCAGTGGCCCCTGGGACTAATAACTGGGCCCATTAAGGAGTGCTAGGCTCCCAGGCCACCTGTGCAGTGTCCTGGGGAGGGCAGGACAGAGCCAGACAGTTCACTCTGTTCCTACAACAGATAAAGGTCCTCCTTTGCTGTCTCAATTTCCATTGCCGATCTCTCCAAGGCCTAAGGAATACTCTGTCCCCGATCACAGTGACTTGTGGCCTCTAAGTGCCTTTCCCGATTCTGGGTAGTTTCACTTCCTGCAACACCACAGCCCAACGCTACACTGGTGCCAGGGGCACAGCTTGGTATTTCCTGGGGATATCTTACAGGTTTTCAACCTTGAAGTCATCTTTGCTTCTCCTTGTCTCCCACTTCCCACAAGGACCAGCCCCCAAATCCTGTTGACTCTACCCCCGATCACGCTGATGACAGCTCGTGTGGACTTTTGCTACCAGCCCCAGTTCTCTCTGCCTCAAAATTTCCCTCACTCACCCCCAGCCCTGATCCATCTCAAATACATGTTTCTGTCAACATTACTCCCATTTAAAACCCTCTCCAGCCTCGCTCCACCTACAAGAGGTTCGGCTCAGCATTCAAAATCATTCCCAGCCTGGGTGCCCTTGCCTTCTGGCTTTATCGCCTTCTCTACTTCCCTGGCCTCCGTCTGAGCATGGCCACACAAGTTCACACACTCCCCCATCAGCTCCCAAGGCCCCCCCAACTCCAGGTTTTGGCTCCGCTTTTCCTTCTGTGTTGAATGCTCTCATCTGTGTCGCATTTATCTCTTCCTCCGGGCCAGCTCCACTCTCAGGAACCTCCCTAGACCCCACCGTCAAAATGCACCTCCCCCTTCCCTGTGTCCCCAGCAGGCCGGTGGACAGCATGAGCGCAAAGCTCCCCTGCCCTCATCCAGCCTCAATCATAGGATGAAATCTTACAGGCAGGGTGTCCTCGTGGTTTATATTTTTCTTAGCAGGAAAAGTAAGAATTAATTTAACTTAATTTTTTCCAAACAATAGCACTTGTATGTCACCTGCAGAGGCAAAGGCGATGCTGGCTACCCCTGCTGCAGAGCGGTATGTATCACTGAGAGGTTGTTTACAAACTAGTTTCTCCCACACATGCAGAGGGAAGTGCCAGACCAATTACAACAGTGGACTGAGGCGCCAGGAAGTTCACACACTCCCAGGGCCACAATCCCAACCTGGGGGATGAGGGGTCCCGAACCTGTTACAAACACCGTCTGTTTTCCCTCCCATTCTGCTGTCCACAAGGCAAATTTCTGTGCTCAGCCTGTAACCCCCTTGCCTCAAAATGGTGTTCTTGCTTTTCTTTGAGATGGCTGACCCAGAGATCTTTCCTGACACCCAGTCCCAAGTGCAGAGAATCCAAGTCCACCAGAAACGTCACCATCCCAGACGGCCATTTGTCCAGAGGTGTGACCTTGCTTCCACTCCACCTGCCTCCTGGCCCTTCCAACCAGAAGCCCATTTTCCACCCACAGCCAACAGTTCCCCTTTGCTTCCATAGCATTTGCCATCACCTACAGATAATCAGGGCCCAGGCTTTCACCCCTCATATCATGAGCTGAGTGGCAACAAACGCAGAACTGTCCACCTGGGCTGCTCCCGCCATACATCCCAGGTTAACATCACAACAAATGAGGAGCCAAGGGCCCCAACAGGATAGTTCAGTTGGTTAGAGCACTGTCCTGACATGCTACGGTTGTGGGTTTAATCCCCAGTCAGGGCACATATAGGAATCAACCAATGAATGCATGAATAGGTTGGAACGATAAATCAGTGTTTCTCTCTCTCTCCCCCCTTCCTCTCTCTAAAATCAATATATATAAAAAACTAATAATAAAATAAAGAGAGGCTAAGGCACAAAATGGAGACTCTAGACTTACACTCATCTGTTTCTGTCGTGTGTAAAAACTCACAGAGGAACACAATGATGGATCTATGATTTCTGGTTACGTAACCACACAGATAATCAAAACTTGGCCTTATTTATAAAGAATGACAATGTAACTGACAGAAGGCACTGTTTATTAGATTTCTATCTTTGAAAACAATTTTTCTCTATGATATCCTAGAGCAGGGGTCAGCAAGCTATGGCTAGCAGATCGAATCTTGGCAGCTGCCTGGTTTTGTAAATGAAGTTTTATTGGAACAGTCATGCCCATTTGTTTACCTGTTGTTTATGGCTGCTTTCCCACTAAACTGGCAGTTGAGACAGAGACTGAACGGCCAACAAAGCCTAAAATATTCTCTCTGGCCCTTTACCGAAAAGTGTGCGCAGTGGTGTCTAAGAGCAGCAAGGCACAGCAGAGGCGGGAGAGGAGGTACCTGTGGACTGGCAGGTGTTCCCCTGCGACACGGCGGCCGTCACCGTCTCCGTGGCGGCATCTCGGACGGCTTGCTCCTCACTCTGCAGGAGGGTGAGGACACACCTCCAGAGGGCAAGCGTGTCCCGCAGCCCTAGGAGACAGACAGAATTCTCATCACCCCGATGCAGTTCACAGAGGCACAGACGCCACTTCAGGTCCATGGTGTTTAATGAGCAGCAGCTTTCCTTTTTTCTGGATACTCCAAGAAAGGAAGACTGGAGTCAGATAAACACCAGGAGAGAGGGCCTAAGGGGGAAGGGTTGAAGTGTCTTGTCTTTTCTCCTTCCTTCCTTCCTTCCTTCCTTCCTTCCTTCCTTCCTTCCTTCCTTCCTTCCTTCCTTCCTTCCTTCCTTCC